GGGTTTGCATATGATGCTTCCTTTTGCTTTGGCTTGGGTTAGTGGAGAGAGATGATCAGAAGCAGTAGTGCTTTTATTGATGGATGGAACATATACCATTTTTGAGATTCACTATTTATTTTTTCGCTTTGGAAATTCAAAGCAGCGAATGATTAGCTTTTTCAGAAGGGAAAGATGATTAGTAACATGTAGTACTACTATATACAAAAAGGAAAACCAAAAGATCAGATACCTACTCATAAGGATCCACATTGTAACATAATATAATTTAGAGAAAACATACACATGACATATATATTATACATTTTGCCTCACGTAAGAGATAATTGTATACAACCACCAAGTAAATATAATGGCCTAGTTTTTATTGAGGTTGGGTCTCTGATTAAAGGTTCAAGTGCTGAGTGGTCTTCTTTGAGAGTCTTAAATATAAAAGTTTGTTCTTGAGCCGAGTACTGATCAATTCATTGTACATGTCTAAGACCATACTCTCGCGTAACCTAATTGCTAACACGATCAGTGTAAGTGCTACTAATTAAGGGAGGTGCCCGCTGTTAGGACCGTCAGCAAACATTCGTATTAGTATTTGGAACAACCCCTTTCAACAACATCCAAAAAAATATACTAACACAAATCGTTCCCTTTGTGACCTTTTTCTCCCTCGAAGAAAAAATATATATACAAAGATGTTATGTAACAAAGAATCATGTTGTATAATTAAACACATACAAAGTTAATGTGATAAAATCCAATAAGAGAGAGATCTTGCTGGCAGCTTTATGGAGAGAGAGAGGGCTGAAAACTGCAAACAACACAGTGTGAAACCCGAGTTTGTATTGGTTGGGCTAAATTGCAACACATACTGATGCCTCCTACAGTGCATACACATCTCTTTCCGATGGATAAACTGTACATTGAAACGACCTTTCAATAAACTCTTTGACCATTGCTCTCCAATCTTTCTCTCTCAAACAGCTTTCAAAGAGATAAGTCTCAGTTTTCAGCAGCCCTGCAAAATTCCCTTGTTGCTAAACTGAGCACATGTGTGGACGAGGACTGGGTTTCAGGAACCATTATAATAACGACAAAATATTGTATATACATGATACACACGAATATAATATTTATGCGTATATGGATTTATTTTCCTAGAAAAACGAAAAACAATATTACAAATATATTTCTTGTGGTGGATATCTAGTTTGGCCTTGTACTCTAATTGGACAATGACAATCTTTTTTTTTTTTTTTTTTTTTTTTTTCTTCTCTTTTGTTATTAAAAACCCATAAGGGGATTTTGGTGCAGGGCATGGCCATGTGGGGTTACTATAAATTCCTTTTGTTCACTGTTGTGAAATACAAGCCTAGCAATATCAAACAAATAGTGAACTAGAACTAAAGCATTTATTGACAATCAATATCCCACCCCTTTGTTGGGGAGACCAGACCCTACCACAAATTGACCCCTTTGGTCCACTCCTAGCTTTCTCCATTAATATACCTCTCTCTCTCCCCCTCTCTCTCTCTCTCTCTCTCATGTATATACATATATATATGTGTGTATATATGTGTGTGTATATATATATATATACATATATATTTGCCTTTTTGCTGTGCATGAGTTATACGCTACATGGGAAGTCTCTTTCTTGAAAACAACTATAAACCACCCATGTACCCTACAAATGTGCTTATTAGTACTCGAGGACGTTATCAAAACTCCAAAATTATATTTAAAAAAAAAGCTCAAGAAAACAAGTAGACACGCCTCACACACACAAATAGGTATATAATATATATATATATATATATTGCTAAGCTAGAAAAAGGTTACGTACAGACTGATTTGTATTATACATTAATTACCTCTTACATGCATGCTTTTGTAATCCATGCATTATCATTGAAAGATCGGCTTTGCCATTTTCTTTTGGCATATATATAATTAATATTGACAAGTAGCATATAATATTATAAAACCCTAAATGAAGATTTGTTAAGAAAAATGCATACTCATGTTCCTCCTGTTTTGTGTCCTCAGTTTGTAGAAAATTACATCTTTTTTCTTTGCTCAAAATCCCAAGGACTGACCTTCTTTCTATCCTTCACTTTTCTCAAAATTCTCGATGGCAGTTTTACAGTTAAACTACAATAATATACTGTTGCTGAGACATAATTGTCAAGGAGACCAAGCATTTTTTTACATGCTATATATGAGAGAATATATAAATAACATTTAATATTATATATATATATGTTAATTTGATATTATTACCCTCCTTTGTATTCATATTCCAACACAAAGGGGACAGTTTTGTCTCCCACTGATCTTTCTTGTCTCGAATCACTAGCCTTTTTGTATCTGGATTTTACCATATACTCGTTTCTGCCTAGATAGCCAAACATTGAAAATGATGAATTTTAAATTAAACGTACGTGCTAAAAGAACATATATATATATATATATATATATATCTCGTGTGTGTACGCACGTACTTTATATTGTTTTGGTTATAAAAAATTAGGGTTACAAATACTTTTTGATCACTCTAAATTCGTATTGTAATACTTTTATTCTTGGACTTTCTTTGGCAGTTTAATGTGGTCCTTGTTTCTAAAATTGACCATGAATCCATATTTTTGCCTATACATAGGCAATTATATGTTCGTCACACGATGACATGAAATTTTATAAAAATAATTACATTAATTAGAGGCAAAATGTTTTGATCACTATTATAAATATCCTTGAAAACTGCACCATTTTTTAGTTATAATATAACTATGATTGTGAAATTTTTAGTTATTGTATATGATAGGATAAATCATTCCTCAATTCTATTGTGAAGGACTAAAAGACTAAAAAGTCAAAATCCAGGAAATAATTTTGCGGGAAAAAAAGGATAATGAAATAAAGTGTCACAATGCTCATAGTAACATTTAAAATACTTATAACCCAATAAAAATAATATGTGCACATGAGATACCCTCGTTTTCTTTTTCCATTTGGACCACTTTACTAGTATTTTTTTTCTTCTTTCGTTCCGACTATATATAATTTTAGAGTTATAATTAGGACCACAATTATCTTATAACCAAAAATTACTGTAGCACCGTTTGATAATTAGGTGGCCAAAATAATATAAAATGTAAACTAGTGATAAGTGAACTTTATCCATTTTACTATATATTTGTGTGCATATATTTATATATATAGCAAGAAGCGTTAATCTTAATTTAACCAAAATTTAATCGAACACTCTGTAGTAAAAAAGCTTGTAGCATAATTTGATATCGGGTGCCAAAAAAACTCTTTTAAAAAAAAAAAATCTAAAAAAGTCCTTAATTTTTCGAATGTTATACAGCAAGTACTTGAGTGGTCGTAGTGACATATGGTTTACAAACCGCAGCTAACATTATTCTAAATTTTTATTGAAACGTAATTGAATACTCCTTATTTTAGTGTGATAAACTACCTAAAAGAACAAAATCGCAAATATATCCATACTTTTTAAAGATAATAAATTAGATGGTAGAAAAGTTGGGATATAGTCTTTTCTAATGTACAGTCATGCCTTATACATTATTTGGTGGCTTTCTTTTCTCTTTTCCTTATTAGATAGATAAGCTCCTTTTGCATAGAATGTACATGTATATATTTATATCTATATACAAATATATATATATAGTTTAAAAATTCAATATATATCCTTCTACAGTGCCTCAAATCACAGAGGAATACACATTAGAACTTTCATGTATAATATGTCATCATCAATTAAAGTCAAATTAAGATCCTGATAAACTAAATAAATCAAACATTTCTTTTTAGTCGAAT